TCTGCGTGTGCACACACAAAACACACTTGAAGAACTGAACCTGGATGTAAAAATAACAGTTCAGGTTGGGAGCTTCCCAGTATGGGTGACAAATCCAGTCAGAATTTTAGTCAGACAACATTAATTCTCCTTTAAATACAATAAGTAGTCAGCCTGGATTAAAAAGAATTTAATTTTATTTGGACAAAGGCACACAGTCTTTATTGTTAGATTAAACATGTCTTTTACCTGCAATAGTAAGAATCTCAACATCATTTTTAATTTGATATCACAAATAATATCACAACTAGTCAATGTTCAAAACTAAAATGGATATTTAGTTATTTATACCTTAATGGTGTTTTAACTTTTTAAATGCACACAATGGATATTTAAAAAAAAATGACTCCGCATTATCACTATGAGACTATTTTCAGAGGAACACTCAACTATCACAATTTTTTCAGAACAAATAAAAAAAATCACAACTAGCCCTGAACAAGAACAGTTACACCAGAAATCTAGAAATAAAAGCAAAAGCATTAAATTAACAAGGTAATGTACATCTGCTACAGTACAAGGAGAAATGGTAGATGGAGATTTGCTACAGTAAGTCAACATACTTGGAAGATCATGAATGCTACTAAAATACATAATCAAAGTCCTTTTTGTCCTGGATATATTTAAGTAGTCCTAGAGAAATGCTTAGTAACAGAAGCAGAAATGCTTCTAGAAATGCTCGTGTCAACATCTTTTGCAGGAATTGGCATCAGAAAGACTGGCTTGGAACTGATCTGTAGTGAACTTCTACATCAAATTAAATGACAAGATCCAGAATTAATTTGTTTCATTTTTAACAAAAACTTTTAAGTATAATCCTTTGCTCCTTAGTCTCAGCAGCTACAGGTACCAGCATGAGTTTCTTTTATCGTACTATGTTTTTAAGTCATGGCTTGTGATGATAATTTCTCCAACTAAACCAGTTGTTTATTATTAAAAACGTCAGATGTTTATGATCATTAATACTGATGCAAATGGACTGACTCAACTGACACCTGCATAAAGGGTCTGAGCCCAAGAAATACTGATACTCAGTCGTATGTTAATGATATCTATAGTTATTAGTCATGTATTTGTTTCCCAATAATTACCTTTCCTCTTGGCTACTAATACTGATTTGTTTCAATTCAAGCTGGAAATAGCCACAAAGAACTTACTGACTCCAGCTATTTTGTGGTTTTCTGTGTAACTCTGCTCTCCTAGCAAAATGTTAAAAAGTAATTTGATTTCCAGTATTCCTTTTGGTCTCTCTTACGGTAGCAAGTTTCCGAGCTATAATGATACCAGACAAGTTGAAAAAGAGCTTTGATGTAGGTTCATCAGCTGTTTCTAACATACTGAAACCCCTATATCTTTTGTAGTACTTATGCCGATCACAAACCTTTCCGCAGCTAATTCTCAGTACAGACGATTAAAAAAAAAAAATTGTTGGGTTATATTTCGTACTTTGGACGTCACTGATGTATTTCTTGTTACCATCTTTTCTCACTCTACCTCTCAAATTCAGAGCCAATCTAACACAGAAATAATTAATCTCCGAATCTGTAAATACAAATTTGGTAATTAACAAAGAAAAGTTTTGCTTTAAAAACAGAAAAGCCACTCATTTGAAAATACAGACTGTACTCTTTCAGTTAGTATATACATCCAGTAACACTGAACTTAAACATGGCCATTTAGTTATTTAAAGAATAAAAAATGCACCATTTTTCATGTCCTTGTAAAATCACCAACATTTATATATGGTTGAACTTCCTCTTTAGGCAATAAATCCCACAAACATTAGTGCATATTATCAACGATTAAAAATATTTCTGCACAACTTTAACCCTCAGCTCTGGATGCAGTATCACAGTATGTGACCATAACAGGACTATAATTTTGCATTATCAAAATAGGAAATATGTGCTGCTCATTATTAAAGGATTGGATTGCCTTATTTGCTTTAGTCAATGGGAACACTTTTCTGCTCAGATTTCCTAGATGACCCAAGTTACCCAGAAACACAGATGCTAGACCTAAGCAATTTGGTATGAATTTCAAGACATGAAAGTTCAGGAATCTCCAAGAGACTTACCCATACAGTTAATATGGCATACTAACACACCCCTCTCCCCCGACCCCTAGTAAATTAATTTAGCGTAGGTACGTTAATACCCAGATTCATTCAGGAATTATATAGCCTTCCCAAGTGAGGTGGGTTCCCGCTTACAGCAGTCTCTCAACTTTTAAATCACACAACTGAGAACGATCGAGGTGTTGGACTGGAGAGGACGTGGGTTAGTGAATTGCTGGTAAGGTAGCTAACTTTACACCTTCAAATCACCTAGGATAAAAACTTACTCTATGTTGGAGCTTGACTACTGCTGAAATAAAAAGATAATGGGAAGCAATGACTATAGACAATTACTAACATGCTACATAATAGATCTTTTTTCCTAGAGTCTACTAAACTTCTCCCAAGAGCCTGATAACATAAGTGATGATGAAATGTTACTGACATACTTTTTTCCAAAAAGCCATCTAAATCTTCCAAAGTGTCAGAAGTGTTATGCTTCAAGATACGATTTGTGGGAAATTTTAAAACCATGAAGCATTTTACATTTGTATAATACAGAACAACAAGAATGTCCTGAGGTACTTCATCTGTGATCTCTCAGCAGTTCCTTTGTTCACACATTGTGCCTGAAGTGGTTTCAAATAATTGGAAACTTCCCTTGCCAGCACCTCCTCAAGCTAGGGTATCAGAAGTACTCCTGCCAAATATTCCTGTCAGCTAGATGTCCAGGTTAAAAAAGAAATCCTAATTTGCGGGTTTCTGCTGCAAAGTTTTAGTCAAAACACATATAAACCAAGAAGAGGTAAAATGACAACATGTAATTCTTCCTTATGTTCTTTCCCGTTGGTGTTCTTTGGTTTAAAATGTAGGTGAAATACAGTTTAGGAAATACCTCATTTACAACTTCGTATTAATATCTGTGTGTTCTGCATTAACTCCTTAATGATGCTTCAGTATGTTTGACATTCCATGCCTTACATTGTTATATGCATTTCCTACCTAGTACACAGAGAAGGAAATCAGATGTTCTTCCAGAGAAAGTTTCATATTTATTCAGAAGGCATACATCTCAACTGACTTTTTTATTAAACATTTAATTTCATGAAACTGATAAATTAAGGGACTTCTTACTGTTTGCATAATATTAAAAGCAATATTCACTGGTGTATATCGTAGTTCAGAGGGCCTATACAATCTCCCCCCCCTTCCCATTTAAACCCCTGAGTAAAGATTTTAAATGGTATCCCCATGGGATCTTACCCACTGTGAAGGAAAACATCAAGGCATCCTGGAATATATGTTGTCTTGAAAAATACTTTAAAGCTTTGAAAAGTTGCTCCTCATTGGAATACGCAAATGTAAAATAACCTATCCTTATCCAAAACAATCCAAGGCAGAACAATAATACCTGGATTTGAAATTTAAGAAACTCTTACAGTCATTAAATACATATTACGAAAACAGTTGGCAAATCTGAAAAGGTGATCGTTACTACACTTTAAAGTTGCCTTTATGTTTTATGGTAAAAAAAAGCCTATATGCATGCAACTTTCCAACACCAAACTTCAAAATTGTCAGGAAAAACCCTGGACTCAGAAATGTTTTAATTTCTAGTGCCCTGACTCAAATGACATACACATTTATTCTGATCAGCAATGAAAACTATGCTGCATTAAGATGAAATAGAGTACATCAAATTTCAGCATAACAAGAATTTTAAGACGACAATTGTTAACTGAGGTCTGTGGTTAATGTCAAAAGAAAATTTTGTCTACTATCGTGTTACAGAAGAATCAGTATGCAGTCTGGATTGCAACATCTAAACTAGTACTTTTTTAAAAACTTTGCTAGTTTAAAATCAAGGATAAAAGGTTTTGTTAAACCATTTGATGTCTCAAAAGGGCGTGAATCAATGTATGCCTCTCTACTTTGTTACATACAAACAAAAATTTTCATCCAGCTTAAAAAAAGAAAACATCAAAAAACTCATACTGGTTATGATCACTACAAATTTTAAGATGGCAGCTTTTAGTAGAAGAGTATTGCAAAAGTGTCTTTGCTAAAATGAAAGCTCCAGGCTTTGAATTCTTCACACAGCAAACAAACTTACTGTCTGTTAGCAAACTTGCATTTCATTGCTAAAGCAAAAGCTTTAAAATAAACTGCAGTGCACAACTTCAATATGATTCTAAGAACTCATTAATGCTGATACCACAGGTTATTTATTGTTTTTTGGTTTTGGTTTTTTTTGTTGGTTTTTTTTGTTTGTTTGTTTTTTTAATAAAACCTCCCCCTCCTGCCAGAATACTGTTATACAGGGAAAAAAAAAACGCTACTCTCTACTACTCTAAGTCTTTCAGATATGGTAAAAAACCTTCAAGATACAAGAGTTTTAGAGCAAGTAATCAGTCTGCAAAATGCTATACATCAGTAATAAGGCATCCACTTTACAGCTGTTTAAACAAAAAAGGCAATATTTCCCAAAATATATATTTTGGATCTGTGTAAACAAAGCTTATATGTATTGCTTCCATTCATTTCAAAAATATACACCCACATGGACTGAAAGTGATCTCGGTGCTATGAATTATGAATTTTAAATTACTGTAATTTATCCAGATGTAATCTGAAGATACAAAGCCCAAATATTTTTGAACTTAATACTTTGAAATATGTCAAAAATGTAATTATGTGAAAAGAAAGCAAAAATATACCCCCAAATTTGATGCCATTTCATTGAATGAAGAAGAAAGTACTATGAAAAATAAACATTCATCTGTTTTCCTAACAATAAATATAAAGACAGTTATTATAACATACTGCAACACATGAAGTATTACTATATTGACCTTAACGTTCAATCAGTAGTTTTTAAATCTTTCCTCATTGAGGCCTGAATCTTCTACCTTGTTAGCTGTCCAACAACTTTTAAGAGGGTTTTGTTTTCTTGCTTCAATTGTTCATTTTCATCTTCTATATCATCTAGGTCCTGTGAAAGGAAAAAGAAAAATAAACATTTCTCAGGACATAAATACAAACTCTCAATTTGTAGCAACAGGACTTTAGCATCTTAGCTCAGAAATGAGAAAGTTGCAGTCGGGAAGAATTAGTGTCACAGTAATTAAATCTGTTAAACCGGCCTTTTTCCAAGTGTTACTGTAACGACAAAACATTATTATTGTATTCCCATGTACAAATACCTTTAAACTGAAACATGTAATCAAAACTAAAGCAAAAAAAATTAATGCAAGAAACAAAAATAGGATGGGTTGGCATACAGAGAGAGTGTATTAGTCAGCTATTGCCTCTGCTCCCCAAACTGTGCTTGTCTGCAACTGTTCCACTCACGTATACACACCACTGATCATTACTGCAACACCTCCTTTGTGTTTTAAATTAAGTATCAAAATTTTCAGAAAAAGTACTGCTTGCGAGTTTTTTAAATTTTCTGTGAAAAAAAGGCATTTTGTAACTTCTGTCTAAACTGCTACTGAAAGAACTGACAGCATACACATTATTAATGGGTGCTTAAAATACATTGCTCCCACCCCAAATGTTCATCCCTCTTCCACCACCTACTATATTTACCTAGTTTCCATTTCACTTCTTTACTTCCTACCAAGTCTTTTCAAGCCTTTAAAGTGAAAACCAGTGAACTCGGCTGTTTAATGTAAGCATTACTTTGGTAAAAATAATTTTACTGTACAAAAAACACATGGAAGAAACAGAGTAAGAACAAAAAAATGAAGAAACAGAAGAGTGACCTCAAGGACAGTGCTTTAAGGAGGAATATGAAAGGCAGGCAAAGGAGGAAGAACCAAGATTCTCATTAGAGATCTTAGATGCCTTTTGATTGAAGTCTGCAAAACCCTACTGCTGCCATGCTAGATTAAACATGGAACAGTCACAGAGAAAAGATTTTCTCTCACTTGTTCCTTTTAGTTGTTAAGTGGCGTTTGACATACGGGGCCTATTTTCTTCTTTCTTTTTAGTGGGGTCATTGCAGAAGCGCATGCTAGAGATGTTGTGTTTAATTGGTATCATGATTTTTAAAAGCCTCTTCAGTTTGCCAAGCCAAAATCCGTACTGCAATACCTTCACAATTACTTTATTGTTTTTGTAATGTGAAATTGGTAGCAGAAATTCCTCTTTGCCTCACAGAAGTAATGCTTCAACACAGTACAAATGACTTCCAGGAACAGCATTTGACCACTCCAATGTAACAGATACAAATGACTTAAACATCTAAACATGGGAAGTTTTGATGGATAGCTACTACAAATATAGTGTACTATGTAATTGTAAGAAACACACTTGTTTTCTCTCTTGTGCAGTTCAGATCAATAATCAGACAGAAGGAACAACACTTTTTCAATAAAATGATTTTTTTTTTTAGTTCAGTATACAGAACATTGTGTTTGAACTTATTGTTAACCTAGCCATCAGATGTGTCAATTAGAGGTTACCTAAAAGCCTTCTGTTTAAAATACCTGGAATTGAAATAAAATATTAAAAGTTTGTGAAATATTTATGTTGCAAAAATAACATTCCAAAGATTACTAAAAGTAAGAGTTTCTTGAACATGAGCCAGGAAAAATAACTATTGCAGTTTAAGTATCTACAGAAACAATGGACCAAGAGATGCAGCTGGGTTTTGCCTCTCTGAAGTTTGAAGTTTGAATTTTAAAGTACAACACTAATGCACACTTATTAGTAAAAAAGATGCAACAGCAGGAAAGCTTGGACTTCACATACCAAAGGAACCAATAACTACACAACTGACACTAATTGGATTGTAAATCCTCACTGACAGACTCTCTCCAAACACACATTTAACTACAATGACATCTTAGTGAGGCCAGAGATGACCACGTGTAAACTACTCGACAGTTGAACTTAACCTACAAATATTTAAATGCCTTGAGATGCCTTTCCCTTCAGACATTCGAGGTTTTTATGAAGCAATTACCCCTTTCTTATAAAAAAAACGTGGCAGACATAGTTTTACTGGCTAATATACTGGAGTGAAAGAATGTCATTTATGGCAGAAAGCCTCTTCTGTTCCTCAGTATAAATGCAGCTCATGTTCTTTAAGTACCTTTGTGATGTATTGATGGATCTCAGTAAAATTATATCGTTAATATTAAATAAATATATTTACTTAAATGAGAAAAAGTCTGCCAAGAAGTTTTTGGGATTCTTGGAAAAACAGTTTTTCAAGTGTAACACAAGATCTTTGCCAATGAAGGATGCATCCATGGTTATGAATTGACTGAAACTTCTAGAAAGAGCATTTCTTTAAATATGAGAGCAGAGCAGTCAGAAAGCTATGCGATAAAATGGCATTTTAGAAAGTTATTTAGGCTCTTTGGCTTGAAATTCTTTCCATGTCTGTGCAACCTAACATGCAATAACTGCACATTTTGATTAATAGAAAAGATGGAGAAATACCATGAATGCATAGATGGCCAAATTTAAAGACCCCTATTTAGGTTACCTACGAGCAAAACCTTTTAAAGAAATCTCTGCATAAGCTCACTAAGTAAAGTTTAGTCCTCAGGACATCCTTTTATCTGATCAGAAGGCTGAAGGTCACAACTGTTCTTCCTGGTGCCAGGTCTACAGTGTATCGTCCATGAAGAACAGAGTGCTGGCTCTGGTGATCTCAGTTACGATAATAAACCTTAGGCAAATACGACTGCACTTTTAACTTCAATAACATTCTATCATGGGAATAATGCAATATTTCTGTAGCTTTTCTTAATATTCTAAAGCTTTCCTCTTTCTAAATCCACATAGATAGCCAATATAGAAGCAGTCATAAATCCAAGAGCTATTAAAAAACAAGTTAAACTGCATTTGTTTTAATGGAAGTATCACTTGAGACATGGGTTCAAACTTTTGTGAGATGATAAATTATTAAGCCGGTCATAAAATCAAAAGGCACCTATTTCATCATTAAGAAAATCCCAAGGGATGAAAACATAAATAACTTGCACTGTAATTAAGCTAGCAGACAATGTTATAGGTATGATAAATGCTGACCTGATGGAAGAATAAAATAAGAAAACATTCTCTTCTGCATTTGAGAGAGGCTACCTAGGGAGCATCAGTAAGATGGCTTTGTATACCTCATGGAACAGTACAATTTTAGTCATTATATAATAAAGAGATTTTGGGAAGGACTATATTCTGTTTTATGTTTTATTTCCACACAACAAGCAGAAATAGCCATCATACTTCAACACAGGCAAGGTACATGCACTGCTTGACTTCACTGCAAATGTTCAAGGATGGCTTCTAGACACTGGATGGACTTAATTTAGAATACGGTATTTCAAATATAGCAGAAAAAAAAAACATTGGTTCTGTAACAGCAAACCTTGCAAACAATCATGGTCCTAAAACACAAGCTTTCAATGATTTAGGGTCTTTTGATTTGTTCTTTCTGACCTCTGAGTCAGGAAGTCAGGTGTGACAAGCAGTATTAAGTAGCTTTGCCATCCATTATGTAGAAGGAATGAACACTTGCCTTTACTGCCATAAGGTCATCAACTTAGATGTGACAGATTCTTTGCTGGATGGAAGAATGGCATAAAGACCAATTCTCCAATTAAAATAGAAATCTCTCCAAAACAAACAATACTTCATTTATCCTACAAATTAATTCCCAACTTTCTTTATAAAAAAAGTAAAAGATATCTGTTTCAGAATAATCTCAGCTGCTTTGGTCCTCTAGTTTAGTTTGCAAACTTCTGTTGTCCACCTTTGTAACAAATGAACAGTGCAAAATTAAAGTTTGCCACTGTGCACATAGAGTTATTGCCAGACTGACCAAAGCCAGTTCTCAAATTTTTTTCTGAATTTTTATGGGAATGTCTGCACTGGACCATTAGAAGCATATTTCCCCAGTACATCCATGCTCTGCACCTCAGCCAGGAACTTCAAGAGGAGGTCACTAATCCATTTTTTGAAAGCGTTCCAGTCTGCCCTTAAAACTGGGACTTGTTAAAATTGGTATCTTCTACCAACTTTAAAACTCCCCATCCTGTCCCATTCCCAAGCATGTCTCACTCTTCTACCCCTCTTCTCCTGCCTACACACCTTGCCTGAGGGATGCTAGCCTGAATCTCCTGTCCCCTGTCTTGTTCTGCCTTTACCTGGGTATCAACAATAAAAAGTGTATGTGTCAGAATATAAAGCACTTACTCCCAAATCCTTCTAAGATCATCTAAACTATTATAAGTAAACAAAAGCTGAATAAATTTAGAATTACTTTGACTAATACAAGTCGTGGGTAACAATTTATTGAGAAAACTGTCAAAACCCCAACTTAATTACTTCCTGGTATGCTGCATAATGAATTTGGAAAGAAGATGCAGTAAAGAACTCCTGCTCTTATAACCTTGTTCTACAAACACTCATAGCAACAGGAAATTCAGGTACTCCAATAACATACAACTTATGGAAGTTAATCTTGACAAACACAAATCACCTGGAAAAAATGTAACTTATTGAAATGCCTGTTGAGAAGTCACACAAATGCAAAAAAAAAAACCAAACCCCAAACAAACCCCAAGCTTAATTCTTCTTCTGACCTTGCACGGTGGATATGGGTGCCCAAAGAAGAGCACAGAGAATGCAGAGACTTTTACCCCCTCTTTATATAGCACTATATAAGAAAGTATGTGCTTACTCTGTTTAATAAATCAATTTCTTCCTTCAGCTTTCCAATTAGTTCCTCCTTGTCCTGTGTCATCTTCATTAATCTTGCATTTTCCTGTCTCTCCTTTGCAAGTTCCTAAAACCAGAATATGCAAGGAAGTTTGAAATGTAATTTTTGGTTTTAAGAGACAGTTTTAAATTATTACTATTTAAAACAAACAAACAAATAAGAAAAACCCACACACACTTACCTATAATTCCTTTTCTGCAACAAGACAAACCCACGTCTTCAAGCCCTTACATTTCCAGATGCCAAAGAATCACATCTAAGAAAATATTTTACCCACAGCAAACCTGTGCGGTATCTGATTCCAGAGATTATGTTTTAATTAATATTTAACTTAATGAACCCAAAATTGGATAGGGGCCTAAACCAGAAGTAAATAAATGTAAAGCATCAGCTTCCAAATTTGTTATATGGGGAAGGTTATTCCTTCTTTCCTTTTTCTTTTTTTTTTGTTTTGTTTTTTGGTTTTTTTTTTGGTTAGTTGGTTGGGTTTTGTTTTGGGGGGAATTTATTCTACCATTAACAAGGAAGGAAGTCTCACTGTTAGATCTGTGGGCCTGAATGTGAGAAAAAAATGAAAATGTCCATTAGGAATTCAATAAATTAGGGTTCAGGATACTGAAAGAAAGCCCTTAAATTTTCCTATTTTCTGTGTTACTGGCAGTTAAATTATTTCAGAAGGAAGCTGATTTGGAAGGTAGGATTACGGTGTACTTCACTCAAATCAGGCTTCCCCAAGTCTTGGGGCGGGGGGGCGAAGCAATTTCTACAAAATATGCTTTATTTTCATCCTTTCCAGAAAAGATCTATTCAAATTGTGTTTACTTAGTAACTTTCATCCCTACAAATTCAAGAGTATTTGGCAAGTTACCCACAAAAATTCACTTCAGAGGAAGACAGAGAAGCCAGTAATAGATGGCACAGATTACATGATTTAGCATAATACTGTTTTAGGCGAAAATCTCAGCTTTAACATTACTACATTTCCCCAAAATGTAATAAGTAACAAACAACTGGATAGCAATTAAATTTTATATTTCAGTACATTAAAAAAAAAAAATCCAAAACAAGAAGTAGATCAGAAGCAGGCTTGCTAATTTTCTGAACAGTCAATGAGCTCCTCCTTCCCCCAGGTTATTTGCCCTGTGTTGGTGCGTCACGAGGTACATGAGAAATACACAGAGCACTGCTGGCTCTCCAAGTGTATGATCTTTACCTCAGCTATTTCTCACTTACATACGAAATGAAAACTAAGTATCTGTGATTGGAAAGTTCTTGGTCAGTCTGACTCTTTATCCATTTTTACAGACACAACTATCTGTACTTCAAGCATTTAGCATCATTTCTATGTATTTTACTTGTAAGTTTCCCCATGGAATTACAAAGGTACTTTATTTCAGATGTATACCATGCACGTTAGCTGGTACTTACCCTTTCAAGTTCCTCAATCCTCTTTTCCAAAGCACTACTTGGTACAGAACTGCCAGAAGAATTTGCATCCCTGCTGTATCTGCTGTAAGTTGTCCTGTCTGGTCGGGAATATCTATTTGGAGCGTCATCTTCTGGTGCATTAGCTGTGCTACAAAGGCAAAGAGCAAAGCAGATAACTATTTACATATATAAGAAAACAGAAGTCATAGAAGTAATAAGAATTGCTTTCCAAAGCACTCAATAGGTCAGTCTAATAAACTGCAGAGGACTTATTGCACCGCTCATGTTGCTGAGGACTCACTAAATTCACTGCCTCAGGGAGTTGAATACTTGGATAATGCAGCTCTCATCACAGAAAATCAACTTTAAACACATGCTTATCCTATCTTAAAATATTTAGAAGTTTTATGAACTGTGCACATTAAAAAACCAAGCTAAACAATTTTGTTTTAAAAAGTAAAGTACCACTATGGAGTTTAAACCAAGCATCTTTTTAAGTAGATGAAAACATAAAGGATAAAAAACAAGTACGTGTCCAAAACTTAAGAAGCTTACAGGCATCAACTGACTTCAGGAACTATGGATATGGCCTGTAAGGAACTGGAAAGCAAACCAAAGTGAGACATTGATGAGGCCCAACATATTAATTTTTATGCCATTTCCAAATATTTTGTTTCAGAACTTGGATACATGCCAGTTTGTCATAGCTCAGCTGGTAGGCACTCGCTCATTAACTGGTGGTATTTTTTTTGCTTTAGATCATGTGTCTGTTGGTTAAAAATCACTGCAATGGAATCTTAACAGATAAGCACTGCAAATGCACATGAACTAGTTATAAAAAAGCTTATGGGTTCTCCATCGTGATTGCTATGTACAAAAACCAGTGCTATTTTAAAAATACATCTATTACAAGTCAAGCATTTTCAAAGTCACAAATTAACAGCTTTCTTCCCATAGCTATTTTCTTCCTAATACCAATGTTATTTACCTTCAATGTAGAATCTAATGAATAATTAAGAGCAGCAGAACAGAGTGCCCTGGGACCAGGCAGAGAGATACAATCTTTCACTCCCCAGTCCACCAAAACCACACTTGTTTGACTTTGAAAATTTACAGCTAGAGAGCCAAAGATAGACAAAAACCCTTGTTCAGTCTTCACCAGAACTCAAATGTAGACACTCAAAAGCCATCTGGACATGGTCCTGGGCAACTGGCTCCAGGTGGCCCTGCTTGAGCAGGGGCGTTGGACCAGGTGCCCTCTCCACAGGTCCCTTCCAACATCAACCAGTCTGTGATTCTGTGAAATCACACAGCTGCAACATGCACACAGTGGTTTTCCAGAGCACTTAGGGAAAAGAATGAAAAGCACTGTGAATATCCCTACAACATTTCTTTTAAAATACAGAAGAGTGTATGATTAATGTGTTCATTTAACAGTTTTGCATTTCATAACTCTAGAAAACCCCTGCTGACAATGTGCAAATCTAGATGGATACAGCGCAAATCAAAAGCAGGAGCATCTGGCAAAGGGATGTCTTTTCATGGATGTAAACAGCTTTTTGCTCCAGTATGTGTGAAGTTTCCAAGGCACACTGACACAATTGTAAGGAATTTTGTAGCTTAATGTTATTACCATATTTAGCACTGTTTATTCTTCATCTAGAAGATTTTTTCTAAAACATTTCTAGGACCGGATATGCATGTTGCAACACAACGCAAGAGAAATATTTTAGCTTAACTCTATAAATTCTAAATCATTTAGCTTTCTGAAGGATCTATTGTTTCATGCTGTTAATGTCACGAGGACAGATCACACAAAAAAGGATCAATTTTTCATCACTCAAAAATTAACCCTTTTGCCAGGGTACTGGAGTATCTCAACTTCGCTCCAGTGAGCGATACCTGCAGATGCTCCTAAAGGAATGAATACCTAGATAGGAAGGGTTTCATTAATACTAAAAATTAAGACTTTTCCTGTATTTTCCCTGAAACTCACACTCAAAAACTTCCTCATCTATTCCATTGAGGAGCACTACTGAACACATTCCTTTTCAGTATCAGCAAGTACAAAGGACATATCATGATGACTTCTAGGAAATGGGATTTAAAAAAAAAACATTTAAGGAGGCATTAGTCCGTATCCTAACACAAGAAATGTGACAGACACAAAGTTCATTATTTTGGCTGTTATAACCAATGTCCAGTATGCAGCAACAGCAAAAAAGGTACCATCTAAGACACAGTAGACATGTTTTTCACACAGCATGGAGTTGAAGTCTTCAGATACAATATCACTTTGCGAGCCTTAAACAAGAAAACTTTATCTAGAATAACAATATCACTGAACTTGGTGTCTATGCTTTACTAAGCCAAAATACCTATCAACCAGCCCCAACAAAGACAGCTCTCATGGAAATAAACCTGTATATTTTTTTATATGTATGTATAAAACCTCTTTTATATTTATAAATATGTAACAATACTACTACTACTATTACTACTACTAATAACAACGATAATCTGTCCAAACTGAAGAGCTCTGTATACTACTAAGAAAACAAATTGGGTTTATGCCTTCTTTTGGGGAAGGGGGGTAAAAGTGCATGCACGTGACAGCAGAACCCCATTTAGTTTGAGACTGATAATGAAACCTCGCTTCCTCTGCTTTCTAACTGAATAAAGGTTTACAAATGCTTGCAACTTGGAAGTTGCTGGAATCTTACAAAAGGTGTGAAAGAAAAGAAAGCCTATGGTCAGTAGATGTACCTTGGGTAAAAGTGGTCATTAGCAGCAGAAGAAAAATGATAGAGGTCTGGCAAGTTGAAAAAATTTAGAGTCACCACTCAAGAATGCAATTCAAAACGTATTCCACTTGTTAGCATTCAAGTAACTTACGCACATAGACTGTTTCAACACTTGCAGTTGAAACATCTAGCCACAGCCTATGGCTACAGGAAACAGTGGGTTTTTAAATTATTTTTCAGGAGAGTCTGAGACTGTATTTGTAGCCCTGTGTACACTAGATTAGAGTGCCCACCCAGAGAGCAGCAAATGAGAATGCATCTGGATGGAGACATCCCCCACTGCTGCTTCAAAAGGGCATGTTCAACAAGATGTTTACAAAAATTCAACTTGTTGTTCCACCAGCTTAGTTTCAATTAGCCACTACCAATACCTCATTTTAAATGTCCATTCCTGTACTAAAATGCTGAAAACAGAAAACACTAGCAACCGAAGAAGACTTGCTTTTGAAAAGTTTTTTCTGGCTGTACTTAAATAAAAATCATAAAGCAAAATCAACCCACATCACAGTTTGACTACTCTTGCACAGAAACAAAAGGGTTGTTTCTGAATGATGTTCTAGTAATTTCCTTTAATTTAAAATAAAATCAGTTATTCGCAAAGGGGCAGGTTTAACAGCAGTATTACAGAAAGGTGGAATAAATCTTGCTCCTTCCAATGCTTCTTTGGTTCTTTCAATGTTTTCCTGAAGCACTGTCCAAATTGCAATTTCATCTAATTAAAATCACCCAGTCAAAATGAGATTTCACAGATTTCAACTACGACACAATTTATTTTCGTCACCAAAATCTTGTATCTATACTTGATTTGGAAACTCCTCATTACGTCACTGAAATCCAGGCAGTTGCTAACAGCTTCTTTGGAAAAATGAGCAAAAGACAGTATTTCCAAATCAGCCACCCTGGACTTCTGCTACGTTGAACTGCTTAAGCCAAGTCCATGGCTTTCAGAGCTGAGCTAAGGAAAAGCAGTCTTGTCTTCTCTACAGCTGTATGTTCCTAGCCTCCTCCATTTTACCTGGCTCTGGCCTTCAGGTGACTGAGTAGGAACCATCAAAGGAGCTGATGCAGCAATCCCAGCCAAGAAAGCAACCAGCTTTCAGCCACAGCGGCTCCCCTGAAGCATCACCCTGTCCAGTTGCATGAGCACTGGCACAAGGGAGAGTGAGGAACTGCACCCAGCTCAACTTAGACCATCCAAAACTTCTGCAGAAGTAAACCCTAAGTGTTTCTGCCTTCTCATAACAACAGCACGGGCTGAAAGGGGGACACAAAAGTCAAGAAAAACACCTTGAGTGACCCTTGTCTATTTTAAGCGTTTGTATCTGTACAGCAGTGGTCCTAATGTAACAAGCCGGATCAGACAGCATGTCAACAGCCAACCCTTGCTGCAGAACTCCCAAACACAGGCAAGTAGGCAAGTCTGGGCATAGTGTTATGAAACAGGATTTTGCAGCTGTACTTTTTTGAATTAGTGAGACCAAGGTTAGTACGATGGAATGCAAATTGTTATAGTTTAAGCTTTGTAGCAATCTAAAAACACTGAGCATGAGAATTTCAGCAGGGCTTTAACATTTCCTTCACATCACTTCTAATGAGTGCTCTGAAGCACTGGCTGCTTCTCTTCTTGTGATTTCCTAAAGCAGAGACCTGAAAATAAGACCTGAATCAGAAAAATCATGAGACCTGAAATCAGAACACCATTCTTACTAATGGTAGCGCAAAACCTGGTAACAGAAGTTTGGAATGGCCAAGATGAGGCATATGACATGAAGAAAAGATTAAGGAGAAGTGAAAGATGAGGAAGTTGATATGGGCTATTACCACTGAAGGATACCTACACATTTTAATCACATGAAGCTCACAGTTCGGACAGATGGCTGTTCACAACTCCCAAATATGCTCATGAACATGTCCTGTGGCTTTCATATCAACATGACCTTGAAGGTTCTGGTCATGCTTTTAATAGATCCTACAGTACCACTCCAGATCACAACAGAACCATCACTTTCTTTTGAAAATATCTTACGTGGTTTATCATGCAAGTACAGAGGAACCCCTACACAAACGTTTGGGGTACAAGTATGAAAATTCTTAAAGTAAATTCAGAAGACTACAATTATAGATTCAAATCCTCATCCCAAACTTTTATTTACTTTACTGCATAAGGACACAGGCTCAGTTTGTCCAAGTCAGCCAGAACAGAAGTGGAATGACACAACAGCAGCCAGCAGAGTTCATTTGTAAACATGTCTTCCAGTCAATGGGCACTCGGTCAAATGGGTTTCTCAGCAATGTCATATAAATGTTTAAGAATGATTGCTGCATCCATATAAGGCAAAGTAGCTAGTGTGGCTGATTGAATAGGTAGTAAAATCTGTGCAATTGCTTGAGCCCTGGAACTTATCGAGAGAACAGCAATTCCTGGAACAGGGAGTCTATAACAAGAGCCCAAGAATTTAGGCAAACATTATCTTTTCACTTTTGCTGTCGTATGCCTGTAAAGCTTACAGTCTCTTTTCCCCACCCACAAAGTACTGACCACCAATGGGATCTCAAAGTGGTTGTCCCTATGTGAGAACATGCTTTGTTCTCAACTTGCTTTGAAAACCTAAGGGAGTACACACACAACTGTTAAAAGCACATGAAGCTGAACATATCTGAGCCTTCAAGCAGCTTATGGTCTCAATTCAGCCTTTTGACATTCACATTCCAGTACCAGGTGTAATCACAGAACAGCATTTTCTGTTTCCAAATGACTTCTGCTGTATGTGGGACACAAGTGAGGTCTATACCACAGAGAATGAGAATTACTGTAGAGGAAGCTGGTTTTTTCTAGAACCTTCCCTTATTGCAGCTGTTTGAAGGGACAAACCAGCCAAACATTGCCAGAACAGAAGAGGACTCTGGTCCCAATTCCTTCCTTACGCGTTCATGGGAGAAAGTGAAGCCACTGGGGACCATACTCTGCTCACCTGAAAAATTACTTGGGAGGAGGGTAGAAATTTTCAAATATAGAGGAAAATCAATAGTACTCTTAGCTCTAATCACAGTGGGTATTAAGTCTCTATCTATAAAGTATTCGAGATTATATACCTCATTAAGCTACACTTCGACTAAAACCCTCTTAGTACTTGTGAGCACCAGGCACTGTGCTGGCCTCACAGGAAAATTATACTTTCGTTTTCAACATGAGGTTTGAAGACTGCAATGAGTAAGATAGATAGCAACATACATGACAAAATATTGAACAGCAGCTCACAGCAAGTCAGATTCCTGAATGTGATCATAGAATCATAGAATCACTTTGGTTGGAAAAGACTTTTAAGATCATCAAGTCCAACCTTTAACCTAACCCTGACATCCCACCACTAAACCATGTCCCTAAGCACCTCATCTATCCTTCTTTTAAATATCTCCAGGGATGGGGACTCGACCACCTCCCTGGGCAGCCCATTCCAGAGCCTGACAACCCTTTTGGTGAAGAAGTTTTTCGTAATGTCTAGCCTAAACCTCCCCTGGCGCAACTTGAGGCCATTCCCCCTCGTCCTATCATCTGTTACCAGGGAGAAGAGGCTGACCCCCACCTCACTACAGCCTCCTTTCAGGTAGTTACAGAGGGCCATCAGGTCTCCCCTCAGCCTCCTCTTCTCCAGACTAAATAACCCCAGTTCCCTCAGCCGCTCCTCATAAGCCTTGTGCTCTAGACCCCTCACCAGCTTGGTTGCTCTCCTCTGGACATGTTCCAGCAATGCAACATCTTTCTTGTAGCGAGGG